CTGCCGTAGACAAGGCTTTTAAGCCTCAAGCGTCTAAGCGAGGTAAGGAAATAACGAAGATATGTGCGGCAATGCGAGACGAATGCATCAGGCAGCCAGCAAGCAAACCAGGTCTGGAGAGCGTGGGATAAGTGGCTTAAACCAATAAGCTTAGCACCGCATTAAAATGACTCTAGGGTAAAAAGTGAGGAGGAACAGCAATCAGAACACGTGGAGATAAAAGGAGCAACGGATGGGCCAACCATGAGTCAGTATACCTCAGTCGCTTATCAACTGTGCGTAAAGAAGCGAGACAGCTCCGATGAGACTGAACTAAGCAGAAAGCAGTGTGTGCCGTCCAGCAGACATAGGGGTGACATTTGAGGTCGCAAGCAGAGATCCAGGACAGAAAGTCCTAGATAACATTTAAGAAAGGTCTCATACGATGGTCAAGGAGACGATAGGCGCGATGGAGCAATCGTTGCTGAACTAATCCCAGACGGCATGAAGAGATTCATAAGGTCAGAGTGATGCGGGATCAAGGTCAGAGCATTTAGGCAGGTTAACGAAGCCTCGCGATGGTAGGGTTTTGGAAGTTAGTGTGAAAGAGCCTTGGCCGGGTTAAGGTAAAAAAGGATTTAACACGGATGAATATGCTGTAAACCAGGCTTTTAAACCCTAATGGTCTATTCGAGGTAAGGACACAGCCCAGACAAGTGAAGCAATGCGCGACGAACGCATCAGGCTGACAAAAAGCCAGCCAGCTGTGGCTAGCTTTGGATAAGTGGCTCAAACAAACAAGCGTATCATTGGATTGTAATGCCTTTGGAAAAAAGTTTGAGGAAAAGATACAATCAAGAAGACGAATGATTAAATATTTTATTCTTAAATTCATCGCGTCATACCAACTCAAGTGTGATCAAACTTTAAAAGGCGATGGTACATTTAGTATTGGTGGTCTTGTGCGTATATAATTTGTGCAGAAACTAACTAAATAAGTTAATCAATAGGTGTATTTCTAGCCTGCCTAGAAGCTGCACCCTTAAAGGTTCAAATCAACCTTAACCTTTATCCCATGCTGTTGAATGGAAGGAGGTAAAATATGAGTATACGTTCCTCGTTGGCAATTACAAATGCATTGGCATTGTTTGGTGTACAGTCGATGGGGTCAAAGGTGCCAACCTTGAAATGCTGCTGGTTCCTTCGGCGATATGAGCTCCTTGATTTCCTTTATTGTGAGTGTTGCGCAGGGCAGTAGTTGTGCCGAATTTCTTTGGAACAGGATTCAATTCACCATAACCACTTTAAATTCCTTGGACTATTTTGGCCCGCTCAGTCGCCACGACTGTTGGTGCGCACGTGGAATAATTAATAATGGCGGAATCATAAAGGATATGAAAGGATAAAAATAATTTCGAAAATGCCGATAAATAAAGGATTTGTTAAGAGACCTACTCGCATTTTCAGATTTCATTTCACTGGCACTAAAGCTAACCAACGACAGAGAGGCCCCTGTCACAATGGCTGGCTGGAGCACCAGAAACTTTCCATCACCACTTTTCTTCTCTTGGCCGCCCGTGTGTCATTTATCTTGTAGCTGGCTCCAAAGCCTACCATGCGTCATGCGTAATGGCGGGTGAACGACCAGCTCCCACTGGTTTTTGTTACTATCCTACTCCTGATTTACCTTATCGCTCTTTGCCTAGGGTGCTAGAACAGCTCTTGCCAGGAAAATCACAAACAAAATAGTCGGTGTAACATTAGAGTAGCAGTTAACATTGCCATCTGGATGAACACCGCCGGCACTATCATCGGAACTTAAAAATGGAGAGAAATAAATCGAAATTCATCAAAGAGCTGCACAATAGTGTGCATCTACACATGAGGCATAACAATACCTCAAGTATAAGCAAGCTCAACCACCAGAAGTAGAGTTGTTAAAGCCCAACCAATGTAGACCAAAACGGATTTCACGCCCAAATGCAATTAGCTAAATTTACTAAATTTTCCCATGCTTATTTCTTTATTATTGGTGACAGGCTCCTATAGCTCACTGATGTTAGAGGCAGAGCCTCATGACTATAGAAAATCGGCTCTAAGGTATAAATCTTGTGATGTTTAGCTAAGTAATGTGTGTATTTTGCAGGCCGAAATCTGTCAACGGATCTGAAAGATCCCCTGAGTTACTCAGGTAGATCTATGGAGGAACCGGTAAAGGAGAATACCAAGTCAGTCAGGTTTACCTCACATATAAATTATCCTGATGCACCTTAGCGTCGGACGGCCGTAAATCCCGAGGTATGCCGAAATGTACGTGTACGTAGAGTCCGATCGTGAACCAAGCAGGCAGCGATGCGCACAATCACAACAATCCAGCGGCAACCAAGGAAGAACCACCGAAGACGAGCTCGTAACCAAGTGTATGTATATACAGTTAATTAAAACAAAGCTGTACAACAACTGCAGCGAAATAGGTAAACGTGAAAATGCAAAATAAGCAAATTATTTACAATCGCTACAGTACTCCCCCCTAGAGCGTGCACTAAGAAAACGCTCGACAAGTGCCTACGGAACGTATTGAGAAAGCTTATGTGGAAAGGAAACAACACGACCAGAACGTGTGTGCTTGGAGCTGCGTGTAGTCTTAGGGCACGGAGGACTCAATGTACTAGCGTCAGTGTGTTGTTGAGTAGGGGGTAATGAGTCAGGGGCGGGGGTATGCTGAGGGGAGGAAACGGGGTCTTTACTATCGACTGTAGTTTCGACGTAAGCTGGCTTGAGTCGGTCGATGCTCACGGATTCTTTTGATCCATTCTTATTCAACACGAAATACTTCGGTTTCCGTGACAAAACCTGGTACGGGCCGTCGTAGGGCGGAGTTAAAGGTCTTCGGACGGCGTCGACGCGGATGAAAACAAACGGACACTTGTGCAAATCGGGGTGGACTTGCTGTTTACGTAGGTTAGGCCGCGTAGACGTTGGTCGAATGGATCGAAAATGCTGTTTGAGGCGTTCAGCGTACGAGAAGGGGTCTAGTTCGCCGGTGGTGCGAGAGTCCAGTACCATCTCACCAGGTAGTCTGAGGGTCGTCCCGAACACGAGTTCTGCAGGACAGCACCCAATATCCTCTTTGATTGTATTGCGTATACCAAGGAGGATCGCAGGTAGACGCTCAGACCAGCGTGAGTCGGACGAATTAGCCATGATGGCAGCTTTTAATTGTCGATGAAAGCGCTCGACGAGGCCATTGGCAGCGGGGTGGTACGCGGTTGTTCTCATGTGAGTACAGCCAAATAAACGACTCAGATCGCGGAACAGTGTGGAACTGAACTGAGCCCCTCTGTCGGTAGTGATGGTGGATGGAACACCAAACAGCGAAATCCAAGATTCGACAAAAGCACGGGATACAGATTCGGTAGAGGTATCACGTAAGGGAACAGCTTGTGGCCAACGGGTAAAACGGTCAACACATGTTAGAAGATGAGTGAAACCGTTGGAAGGAGGTAAAGGGCCAACAATATCTACGTGCACGTGTCTAAAACGAGCGTCAGGGAGTGAAAATGTACCTGGGGTGGTGACTGTGTGACGATGCACTTTACTAGTCTGGCAACTAAGGCAATGTTTCGCCCACTGTCTAATGTCTGAACGCATATTGGGCCAGAGGAAGCGGTCGGTAATGAGTTTTACGGTGGAGCGGATACTTGGGTGTGAAAAACCGTGAAAATGATCAAAAATGGTTCGGCGAAATGATTGTGGGACAAAGGGTCTAGGCTTACCGGTTGAAAGATCACAGTAAACTCTTATGTCAGAGTTAAGTACGGGCAGTTGGGTGACTTTCAATGAGGAGTTTGAACGAAGTTGAACGAGCTCAGGATCATCGTTTTGGGCGGCCGCTATTCTCTCCAAGTCGATGGGTGTCGATGACAGTTGATTCAAATGGGCGCGGGACAATGCATCGGCAACAACGTTGTTAGGACCGTCGATATAACGAACATCAACACAAAACTGTGAAAGATAGTCCAGATGACGCGTTTCTCGGGGTGAGTAACGGTCTGAGGAAGAACGGAAGGCATACACCAGTGGCTTGTGATCTGTCAAGAGAATGAAACGACGTCCTTCTAAAAGGTGACGGAAATGTTTCACAGCCAAGTACATGGCGAGCAGTTCACGACCAAAGGTGCTGTACCTGACCTGAGCAGGTTGAAGCTTCCGTGAGAAAAAAGACAGTGGTTGAAATTCGTTATCAACTAACTGTTGCAAAACGGCACCGACAGCAGAACTTGAAGCATCCGTCTTAAGGACAAGTGTAGCGTCCTCCGTGGTGTTCAAGTGATGGAGAGAAGTGACCTCACTGAACTTCTGCTTAACGGCCGTGAAAGCGGCTTCAACTTCTGGGGTTATTGTAAACGTCTTTGAGTTTTCTTGCAGTAAGTCGGTAAGCGGGTGAAGTAAATCAGCACAGTTGGGAATGAATCTGCCGTAGTAGTTGATCATACCGAGGAATCGGCTTAGGCTTCGGACAGATTGTGGCATCGGGTAGTCGAGGATTGCTTGAGATTTATCCGGGAGGGGTTTAATACCTTCACCATCGATCTTGTGACCGAGAAATTCGACGGTTGGCTGACCAAATTTGCATTTATCCGGGTTGATGTTTATCCCGTGGTTTTCAAAGCGTTCGAAAACCATTCGGAGGTGTGATAAATGCTCGTCGGGTGTGGCGCTTGCGATCAAGACATCGTCAATGTAAACGTAGACGAAATCAAGGCCACGGAGGACCTGATCCATAAAGCGTTGGAAAGACTGTGCTGCGTTCCGGAGGCCGAAAGGCATACGAAGAAATTCGTAAAGGCCAAATGGGGTGATCACGGCAGTTTTTGCGATGTCTTCCTCCGCCATTGGAATTTGATGGTAAGCTCTGACAAGATCGAGTTTGGTAAAGATTGACTTTCCAGCTAGTCCAAGGGAGAAATCGTGGATATATGGGATAGGATACCTATCCGGAACAGTCTCGTCTTAGTTGGATGACCGACGGGACAAGGGCACCGGGTGACACCGCTCGCGTTGTTTGTGCTGAACCTCCGACACGCCGGGGGGGAGTTCTCACTGGCGTTGCCCGCATGCCTACTGTCTGTCGCGCCTCAGGGAGGGCCGACTCGGACCCGTCGACGCCCTTCCATGTACCTACGGACCTCAAACTACCACCGTTTGACACCTTCCGACACCGTCCTGCGGTTAGCTGCCGCGGGTGTGTGGCGGACCGCGCCGACTTACGCTGGCTCGTACACCATGGACTTCGCCGACTGCTGCGCTTCTGTCCCCCTCGTCCGGCTACCTCATCCGATTGCGTTGTAGACTCGCTGGGACAGCCGTCCCGTGGTCCGGTCCTTACTCATTTTCGGCGGCGTACACCCCCGACCCCGCGTTCCGGAGGAGCGGCTCGCCGCCCGTTTGCGAGCCGGTGGTCTACAACCACATCACCACGCTCTCAGGGGTGGCAGAGCTAGCCCGGGGCGGGGGACACGTTGTACTTGGTCGGTGACCTAAGTCTCCTCTTGCGATAATGATCGCGTACCACTACCCTCGTTGCGACCCACCCGTCGACTAGACATAGGCGCGATTACCCCGCGCTGACCAATCATCCATACGGGCCTCACCGGTGGCCCTAGACAAAACGGCGACAACGGCACGTTCAAGGCTCGCCCTTTACCGCTTTACCCCCGGGGCACCCGCCTGGCAACGCACCAGCCATCGAAGTACCTCCGCGGATGAGCCATCGGACGGTTCTGTGTCCTCGGGGGAACTCTTCGGCACCGGGGCCTCGCCAACTGCGTTCTCTGCGACGCTTTCGACACTCGCCGACACCGCGCGTGCGACGTACCCCACGTGCACTCGACACCCGACGGCGACTCCGCCGCCCCTCGCACCTATCATCTCCTGGCGCGCGGTCCGTGGTCGCCCCCCGGGACGTCTACAACGCCACCCCACGCACCGTCACGCCAAGTCATGCGGCGCGCCCAAATTGGGACCCGACACGTCGCGCTGTCCCGTTGTTAAGAGCACGGTAGTCACCGCATGGTCGCCAATCGCCTGACTTTTTAGACACCAGATGGAGAGGTGATGCCCAGCAGCTGTTTGAAGGACGAATAATGCCGAGATCAAGCATGTGTTGGAATTCCTTTTTAGCTGCCTGGAGTTTGTCAGGACACAAGCGTCAAGCTTTAGCAGTTACAGGCGGACCGGTTGTAACGATGTGATGGCGTACATCGTGTTTAGGATCGGAAGTGTCGTTACTTGCTCGCATTAGGGACGGAAGTTGTCGGAGCAATGAAGAATACTGTGAGTCGGAAGGGATGAGAATGCAAAGCCCGAGAGAATTGACTGAGGCAAGTTTGCAGGGTATGCTTAAAGACGTAGTATCGTCTCGCAATTTCCCACAACGTAGGTCGACCACAAGACCGAACTTGCTGAGGAAGTCGATTCCGATAATGGGCTTTTGCACATCGGCGATGGTAAAAAAGGAAAGGGAAGTTACGCCGTAATCCGAGACTCAAAGTAAGTAATTTCTGGCCGTAGGTCGCGATTTTAGTCTGATTAGCTGCCGTAAGCATTGGACCCGCTGGTTGCAGGGGGCGTTTTTCCAGAGAACGGGGGAGAACGCTGACTTCTGCACCAGTATCAACCAAGAAGTGAAGTTTGGTTGTGGAGTCAAATACATACAACAGGCGACTAATAACCTGGCCAGCGACAGCCGCCGCCATTACTGGCTGGCCATGTGGTTTCCCGACGTAGGAGTTGAGAAGGCTTTGGGGTGTTTACACCCTGGACGGCACTTACGCGCTGCGTCTCCGAAGCGGTGGTGATAATAACAATAGCGGTGAGACTTCCGTGTACGAGAGCTGCTAGACCGTCTGGATCGAGAAACGGATCGTCGCGAAGGAACGCGGTCGCGTCTGAGATGGGACAAGGTGAGCTCTAAGTTAGAAAGCCTCTCGCTGATTGTATCAAGTAGCGTGGTTCTGGAGGGGCTGCCGGAGCTAGTCTCTGTGACGTGTGATACCGACGTTCTAATGAAGCGTTCGTGAACGTTATCGGCAGCTTCTGCCAGTTTGTCTAGCGGAAGATCGTCGGCAAGCACAGCTAAAATAGCCGTGGTATTCACAGGAAGACAATTACTCCACAATTGGCGGAGAACGGAATCATCCAGTGCGGAAGAACCGACGAGGGAACGCATGTGTCGGAGTAACTGAGATGGCGTTCTATCTCCAAGTTCAACACCAGAGAGTAACTGCTGAAGGCGTGATTCGTCTGAGGCTGTAGTGCGCTTTAATATAGCTGCCTTAAGTTTATCATAGGGGGACTCTAGGGGCATAGGGTCAAGAATGTCGATGACCTCAGAGGCGATGTTGGACGGTAAGTGAGCAGTCACATATGAAAACATTGTGGACTGGGATGTAATCTTACGAAAACGGAAAACAGCATCCGCTTGAACAAACCAAACACGTGTGTTAGAAACGTCAAATGAAGGCAAAAAGAGTCCAAAAGAATGTTCCGACGCATTAATGGCAGGCGCGTGATCAGACATTGTAAGTTAAAAAAGAAAAATATACACAAAATGTTGAATTAAAAATCCGGGGTCACCAATTATATGGAGGAACCGGTTAAGGAGAATACCAAGTCAGTCAGGTTTACCTCACATATAAAGTATCCTGATGCACCTTAGCGTCGGACGGCCGTAAATCCCGTGGTATGCCGAAATGTACGTGTACGTAGAGTCCGATCGTGAACCAAGCAGGCAGCGCTGCGCACAATCACAACGATCCAGCGGCAACCAAGGAAGAACCACGGAAGGCGAGCTCGTAACCAAGTGTGTGTATATACAGTTAATTAAAACAAAGC